ACAAAAGTATTGCGGGGTAACGCAAAAGTATTGCGAGGGAACGCAAAAGTATTGCGAGGGAACGCAAAACAATTGCGAGTTAATGCAAAAGTATTGCGAGGGAACGCAAAACAATATTGCGAGGTAACGCAAAAGTATTGCGAGGGAATGCAAAAGTATTGCGAGGTAACGCAAAAGTATTGCAAGGGAATGCAAAAGTATTGTGAGGGAACGCAAAAGAAAAAAAAACTCCCCATGTCCCCTTACGGGCTCCGTAGTAGTGTGCCCTCCCGACACAGGGAACAGATTTTCACAGGGGAACCTTCGCACTACACCCCCTAAGCTCCAGGCACTAGACACATGCCTGCCTGCCTTCTGTAACGTGACTGACTACAGTTGGAAAAATAGCTCCCCAGACGAGACACTTCACTTTGGCTTAAAATACAGACATTCTGAATAATAAGGGACTGTTGGTAAACTTACCTCAGCTTAGAAGGCAGAGGGTGTCGGTCTTTTCTGCTCAGATTCAGCTATTGGAGCATGAAGCTAATGTTTATTCACAATGCTAATGCTACCCTTACTCTCTGGCTCCTTAGGAGTAGAGTAGCCAAATGTCTGGCTCACTGCTGCTGACTAGTGGTCAGAGGCTGAACTACAACATAAAAATGAACCGTTGGCAGGAAAGTTGACATTTTAAGTTGACCTTAATTAAAAATTGATACAGGGCTTTAGAGATTTGATATAGTATCGGGAAATGAAATATCGATATATATATATGTATATCAGTGTATCAATATTTTCCTACTCGCCTAGTCAGGGAACACTGTCAGGGAACACTGTCAGGTAACTGTGTCAGGTCCCTCCCTTTATGCTTGCTTCTTGTCCAGGCCTCTGAATAAAAGATACCAGGAGGTCCTGCGCACCGTCTTCATGTCGTCCAGCAGCTCCACAGCAGGGCACAGCAAGAAGAAGAACATGAAGGACCTGCAGGAGGAGATCACCTCCCTGTACAACAACATCCGACTGTTTGAAAAAGGCACCAAGTTCTTCTCAGGTACATCCTGCTTCTGTCACAGGAAGTGAATCTTCCTCCAGCTGCTGTGTTTATATCCTGCTCCACACAGACCTGCTGGAGTTCTCACTGAGCTTAAAGTGCCTGTGACGAGCATATTCTTCAAATACAAAAAGAAAACATCTTTATTTTTAAGAAAGTTGGAATAATACACACGATTTAACCCAGTTTGTCCCATAACTAGCATATTTTCCTTTGAGTTTGGCTCAGTCAAAGTGAAACAGGAAGTGACATCACAGGGGAACTCTTTAACAAAGAGGACTCTCTGGTCTTTGTTTATTGAAACATTATTATTTGAACTCTGACKCTTCTTCTTTCTGATATTGAGTCATAATAATGTAAAGAAACATCAGATTCTTCTCTACAGTCAGGGTTGTTAGACMTTTTAGCAAAGCTCTGTTCACATGCAGACATTCCCCTTTGACATCACTTCCTGTTACTTCACAGTCAAATATCTCAACAACTGTTCATCTCAGCGACATCAAATTTCTTTAGCAATATTTTATCAATGTCTTCCTAAAAATGCATTCATATGTATAACAAATACTTTACATCACAGGCACTTTAAAGAACTCAAACATGTTGGATGTGTTGATGTGTGCAGATGAGACCCAGGTCCACATCAACAAGCACATTCTGAGGAGCCTGTGCTCTGATGTGACCAACGTCCTGGTGAACTTCTTGGCTGCAGACCTGATGATGTCTGTGGAGAACCCCAGCACCATCAGCCCTGAGGTGGCTTTCACTGCAAGTAGATGTGCTGCTAGTTGGTGTTAGACTTCTTYAGTTTAATGTCTGTGATCTGTGGCTTCAGGTCCGACTGAAGATCCTGAGCAAACTGTCAGAGGAGACCAAAGGACCGCTCATGAAGCTGCACAACTCCCTGAATGGCAAAGTACCGAATCTACTCATTCAGTCTTGTTTTTTAAAGAGGAGGAGCTCTGGAAGAGTCACTGTATTGGGTACCGTTTGTAAAGTTACACAGTCAAAAATTACCACCAATATTTTTGTTTTATTTAGACTTTTAAAAGAAAAAAAGAACAGATTTATTTTTCAAA